CTCCACGTAGTGTTTAGGGGTTGACACTGCTCCTAAGCCTTTGGGGAGGGTGGTGCTTAACATGCAGATGATGGGTCCGTGGCCGTCGAACATCTTATTCCTTGCTTGTTCGAGCTTTGCAAGGAAACCCTAGTTGATATCCTCCTGCATTTTGCAAGTACTACATTAATGTATACAACGCTGGTTTCTTGCAATGTGCAAACCTAGCTCCTGACATTTCTAGGCAGCTTGTAGCGTCGCCAGAAAGAGTTGATGCTTCAAGTGGTACTGTAGTTCCATAAAGGCATGAGTACCCCAATATACACCCCAAAATACTATACTTCTTGTCACGGGTACCTGCAAAATAACATTTCGAACTTTTCGAAAATCGCTGAGTGCTTATGTTGAGAATAGAATCTTGTTTCTTGTCAAACCTCACCCACGCAAGAGCCCTATTTTGTTGAGCCTAGCCTCATATAAGCTATAGCCTAAACTCCTAGCATCTCCCTTAATAACCCTTATAGTAGTCCCCTATCTAACGCCCTATACAACCCCCTTTTAAGGAGTTTAAACTGACTATAGCTCATATGGGAGTTTCTCAAAATCACGCCTATGTCATCCCTAGAAAGGCACTCTGAGTCTCCTATAATCCTTCGGTTGGATCTAGGGCTTAGGGGTTGGGGTCTGGAGTTTAGGGTTTACCCCTTTTGAGCACGCCCCCATGTAACGGACTGAAGATCCCTTCTGCGCATGCCGCAGCTGATTGCTCGGATCACGCAGAAGACGTACGGGCCTTCTTGAACCATGGTTGTCGAGGTTTTACGGCCTGAAAATATCTTGTCTATTTGCATAGCGTATATGGTCTTCCTCATCAGATATTGATAGTTGGTGGGAGTATTCCAAGTCTGGTTCGCTTCAGCACACTTACATCCTAAGCCTAACACACTTACATCCTAAGCCTAGCCCGTGAAGACAGACCTAAGTATATACATCTTTATCTATTTATACACTTCCTAATGCAGGGGTCACAATATGTGTGTGCATATATATATATGTATATACGCATACATATTATATACATACACACGTATCCCGGGATCTCCGGGAAATGTATAAAAAAATTGGGTCCCCGATGCATCCGCAGATGTAGTCTTACTACTCCGAGTTATAGGGGCCCCAAAAAATGCCTTAAACCCAAACCGTCTTCCCTAAACCCTAATCCCTAAACCATATTCTCTAAACCGCTAACTGTGGAAAGTCCTGTCCCAATAAGCCCCACGTAGTTCATGGCGCTGATGTTTCAGCGGGCAGCCCTTCTTACTTTCGCGCACCTGACACTGACAGGCCTGGCTTTGAACAAACTAGGGTTGAGGGATTAGGGTTTAGGGTTTAGGGTTGAGGGATTAGGGTTTAGGGTTTAGGGATTAGGGTTTAGGGTTTAGGGTTGGTACCTTTAAGGGAGATATGGGGATGTGTAGAGCTATATAGGGGTAGGTTTATTGAGAAACTGGAAACTACTATTTAGGATTTAGGGTTGAGGGATTAGGGGCGGCTTTCAAATTACCTTCGGTTGAGGAGTTTGGGATTTACACTCTGAGCACGGGGAGTTCAAACCTTTTTGACAGCCTAGGCCGAATGGTTTGGGTGCTAAGGACCACAAGGAGTTGTCCTAAACCCTAAACCCAACCTTACCTCCTCAGCCCCAAGCCATAAACCCTAACCCTAAATAGTAGTTTTCATTTTGCCATTATCCCAAGATAACCCCAATACATACCCCAGAATCCCTATACAATCCCTATTTAACCCCTATTATCCCCTAAATCCTAAACCCTCTTGGAGTGGTTGAGGGGCTACTGCTGCAGACTCCTGGGTCTGCAATCTCTGAGACACCTCCGTATGCACGAAAGACCGCAACAAGTTCAATCATGTGTTTGAATGTCGAAAGGTCTGGTTCTGTTTTCTCTACAGATCTTCACGAGTATCTTTCTTAGTTCCTCTTTCCGTGGCCTGGCATTTGTATTATAGGTACTAAAAACAAGAATTGTGCAGTACTGTGCAGAACAGCCTAGTATCCAAAGCAGCGAGAGGTTTCTTTCATCAGCCGAACGTAGACTTCTCCACCTTTACGTCCCTTCACTTGCAGCCATACTTGCCTACTTGTAGCCCATTAGCTGCTGAAGCCCATTTAGGGCTCAGGTTCGGAAAGGGTCCCAAATTTTGATTCATTCCGGGTTCTGAAATTATTCAAAATGTGTAACACTCACGACTAGAAGTTCAGGGACTTATGACCATACTTGTGCACCTCATATATCACGTGTAAGTGAATTTGAGACTAGATGTCCACTCCTTGTATCCGATGTCCAGGTGAGCTTTTCAAAGCAAAGGAGCAAAGATAGGGACCCCTGATTCAGGACCCTGGACCCCCAAACCGTAAACCCTAACCCCTCAGAACCTCCAACCTTAAATCCTAAACGTCCTATTCCGTGATACTGTTATATTGTTAGTCGTGTAGCTTCTAACCCCAATAACACCTACATTATCCCAGCTTTCTTTTCCATGATAACCCATATTTCCTAAATCCCTAAAACATTCACCCAAAACGTCAACCCTCCAAACCCTAAGCCCTTTAACCTTTTAAACCCTCAACGTCACAACAGCGAGCAGTCTCCATTACTGTATCCATTCCCTAGACCCTAAACCCCTAAACCCCAAACTTCTAGCCCCTAAACCCCAAACCCCTAAACCCTTCTCGCTAACCCCCACACCCTAAACCCCAGACCCCTAAGCCCGTTATTTCTAAACCCCCTTATCCCTAACCCCCTAAACCCCTAAACCCCAAATCCTTAAACCCCTGAACCCCTAATCCTTAAACCCCTATCCAAAAAGCCCAAACCGTAAACCCCTAAACCCCAAAACCCTAAACTCTAAACTCCAACAGACAGGGGAGGCGGCAGGTCGTAGCCTCACTCCGCAGAACCTGCTCCTGGGCTCTCCTAGGGTACCACAGTAGTACCCTTTTGCCCTTTTTATTTGGGGGTTTCCTAATTAAAGCTGAACAGTAGGAAAAAGGGCACCCTTGATGGGTTACTGGGGAACCTAGGTCAAGGAGATGTTAGGGTGTAGAGGGTTTCAGGGTTTAGGGATTTAGTGTCTTAGCTAGCGTAAGGAGATGTTAGGGTGTAGAGGGGGTTTAGGGGTTTTAGGGTTTTTAGGGTTTGGGGTTTTATGGCTTAAGGGGTTCAGGGATTTAGGATTTTAGGGTTTAGGGATCTAGGGCTTAAAGGTTTAGGGGTTCGGGTTTAACGTTTAGGTCAAGGGTTTGGGGATTTGGGGTTTAGGGTTCAGGGATTTAGGGTGGTTTAGGGTTTAGGGATTCAGGGTGGTTTAGGGGTCGAGGGGCTTTGGGGTTGGGAGTTGAGGGATGTAGGGCTTGGGGGGTAGGGTCTAGGTGTCTGAGCGTTAGGGAAGGAGGGATTCTGGTTCAGGATGTTTAGGTTTTTTAGTGTTTTTAGGGTTTAGGGTTTAGGTTGAACTTCAGGAGTTCAGGTGTTTGGGGCTTCGGGCTATGCAGCGGGTTCATGGGTTTAGGGGTTGTTATCAGTTTCAGGGTTTAGGGGCGCTTTGGGGTTCGAGGTTCGATAACATGTTGGCCACTTTAATTTCCGAGTAGTTGTGCAGGGGTCTTCTGGGGGATATGTTGGGCCTTATAATTCAAGATGATAGGGAACCTGATATCCAGTGTGGCCACAAGCTGCACCGACAACAAGAGTCACAGCTGAGTAAAGTCCTTGGCAACCCGTCCTTACAGTCGAAAAGGTTATGGATAAGCAGGAGAAGTCGCCAGTAGGAAAAGTCTTCGACAAAATCTGCGCCCGCTAAACCCTGTGCAAACCTTACACCTTAAATCCTAAACCCTAATCCCTAAACTCTAAACCCTGAACCCTAAATCCTAAACCTTCAACCCTGAGCTGAATCTCTCTTGGTGTAATTGAAAACCCTTGCCTTGGAGTTCCGAGGCTGGTGTGGAACCCGCATTGGCAGTGCTTTGCCGGAGTGCTCAGCTGTCCAGGAGTGTCTCAAAATGTTAAAATGTACATGAGTCGTATTTTATTTGGGGATACTATGGTACCCCATATGGAGTAAGATTATATCCTCCTTTTGGGGTATGGTATTTTATATAAGGAATATTATCTTACTAGGTTTAACCACCAAAAAACGCTACTCACATGAGGGTTTGCCAGACTTACTGGTACCTTTTCGTGGGTCCCTACAGCAAGGATTGTAGTACGTACTCATGGTCTGTGTTGACAACCCCTTCTTTATGGACACCACTATATGTATAATTCCTCCACAAGGGACTCCTATGATCTTTTTATACCCCATCCACATCCACAAGAACCTCAGGGTCCCCCATTTTCAGAAGACCGAGTCAGCTTAAATTTGCTAGTTACCTCTCATAGCACGCCCTGTTCGCCTAATTGCAGCAGATTTGTGCGAGGTACTAGGTAGTACTTTCTTGTTGACTGCGTTTGTATATGTAAGGATGGAGGTATTTTTCGGCTCTTGCGCATTCCAAAGCAAAAGTTGTCAAGAATCCTGCAAAGCCGTGCGGTAGGGCCCCAGACATGTTTTTCAGGCTCAGCAGCTAGGCAGCTAGTCGCGATAGTCATGCTGCTGCTGCTGCTGGCGGCGGCGGTGGTGGTGGCGGTGGTGGCGGCGGCGGTGGTAGTGGTGGTGGGGGTGCAGGCGGCCGTTGCGGTGGCGCCGGTAGCGGTAGCGGCAACGTCGGTTTTTTTTTGGTGGGTTGGGATTACAAAAGTGAGATTAGCTCTGATTTGCGCTCCATGATTATGTTTTTTTTGTTCATGATTCTTAGTCGAAATTCGATAGGAATGGGTTATAGGAAATCATGATGTTACTCCTTAAGGTCTTATACGCCAATTGAATATGCTTTTCTTTTTTGATGCTTGACTTGTCCTTGAGGGGTACTAGGGATGTGCCTGCACCCTGAAATGCCCCAGGCAGCGCTACGTCTGTGGGGACTCCTTCACGTTCATGGACCTCAGGCTCTTCATGACCTTGGTGCGCTTCGACCCGGTCTACGTAGTCTACTTCAAAACGAATGTTGGCACGATTGAAAGCAACTATCCGAACCTCTTCAATTACATCAAGGACGTGTACCAGTTCTCAGGCATGTCTAAGGCCATCAACATGAAGCATATCAAGATGCACTATTTCACCTCGCACCCCGATTTGAACAAGTTTGCCATCATCCCGAAGGGTCGGGATGTGGACCTGGCTGGACCCCACAACCGTGGGAAGAAGGCGGCAGCGCCCCCAGGGTGCTGGGCCAAGATCTTGGAGTTCATATCGGGATCAAAGTGATTTGAGTAGCTGGGTTGTTAACAGGCAGATCAAGCAGGATGCTGCCTTGGATATACGATGGGCAGTTTCTGCGCGGACATGGTGGGTTGACATCCGGTCACTTTGTTGAAGGCTTGGTGAAATCAAGCAGTCATTACAAGCAGGCACAGCTGCGTTTCAAGCTGGGTGAACATGCCGCATCCAGTACAACTGTCAGGAAGTTTTAGAGGCTTTAAGAACCACGTGTCCTTTCAAAAACATGCCTCACGGCCGTGCTGCAATTTCGCAGTCGCAAGATGAAGTCATTCATTTGCTCCCCTGTTTGATTCTGCAGCTTGCGTGCTTCACTCTTTTGCCTGTACAAGGCCCCATACAGAGCATTTCCGCTCAGGAGTGAGACTCCATTTCTTAGACCTTCATGCTGGCAGGCCAAAATGTCACGTGTAGATGAGCACAGCCTCTAAGGGGGTTCTATCAACTTTTTCCTAGACCCGGCATCTAGGATTTTAAGCTTGAGCGCTGCGGGAAGGGCTTGCGACTTTAGTGTTTGAAGCTTGTCAATCAGCCAGATCCTGAGGCCCAAGATTTAGGGTTTGGGGTTACTGTACTGTTCTTAGGAATGATTTTCGATTTTTATTTTAGTGTAACCCCAAGGAAATATTATCAAAAAAAACATTCTTTTTATTATATGTCTAAGGACGCTACAGGTCTCAGGTCAATGTCGATAGTATGTCCCTCCCAAAAAGGTCTTTTCTGTTTTGGGTGCTCTCAGACCCGAAGCCCCTAAATGAACCACCCCTGGATTGGGGTTTAGAGTCTAGGGCTTCGCAATCTCTTCACCGTGTTGCCTTCAAAGTAACCACTGCAAAGCCCAAAACCCAAAACCCCTAGACCCAGAAAAAAGCCTTTTTTTGGGGGAAGCTGTTTTTTCAGATCTACACCCCCTTTCATCCGCACATCTCCTACTATTCCAACCAAACCCAACACCCCTCCCCACAAGAATAAGCCCCACCAACCCCCCAAGACACTCAATAGGTTAGGTGGACCCTCCACCCCATAATAGTGACCATAGGGGATAATGGGGATTATATTAGGGCCCTAGTATCTTCCTAATATGTCATTATTCGGGTCCTCCTAATCAATAGGTCTCAATATAGTACCGAGATACTATACCATGGGCTAACTGTTTAATCCCGCCTGGAAAGGCTCCACGGTCGGCTCCTGAGTCCAATGGGTAGCATCTCGCAGCGCAGCCCATAATTAAAGGGACCCTAATGGGAACCCCAAACAGGG